AATCCATACATATGTAGGTAATTCAGTGCCACTAAAGCACTTTTTACCTTTTTAGGATATATATTTTGGTATGCGTGTGCGTACGTGCGTGTGTGTGTCTGTCTGTGAGTGTATGTGTGTGTGCTTGTGTGTTTAAAAGTTTAAAAAAGATTTTGAATGAATTTTCAATAAATTTAAACTAATTTGATAAAACTAAGAACAGTGAAATAGTTATTGCTTTGAATTCGCAATGATATAAAAAGCTTTTTATATCTCGTTTAACCATCCAGGCACAAGTTTCTACTATTAAAAATTTAATAGAGCTACATTCCTCAAGTTTAAATTAAACTAATAAAAGAAAAAATGAATGAATAGTTGGGTGATTGAATGAATGAATGAGTGTGTGTGTGTGTATGTGTGTTGTGTGTGTGTGTGTGGGTGTGTGTGTTGGTGTTAATGTTAGATAATACAGAATGAAAACTAATTATATCGTTAGTTCTATATTTCATGAAGGAAATTAAAATGGCGAACCGGAAGAAGTTGTTATTTTAGTTATTGCTTTTGTTGTTTCTGTCGCTGTTATTATTTTTTATTGTAACACACACACACACACACACACACACACACACACACACACACAACACACACATACACAGTATGTACAATTACAATTACATGACTTACTGATTTAGCTAGCGCTCAATTGTTTTGTTCATTGTCAGCAAGCGCAAATGTTCTTTGATTTTATTTTATCTATGCAAAATCTCTTTTTATTTCAATGGTTCTGAATTATTTAGCGCGTTTTTGTAAACTTTTTAAATAGTCATTAATGAGGTTTTAAAGAAAAAATTGATCGAATGGATGAACAAATGAATGAAAAACGTAAAAAAGAAGGTTGGTCTTTAGAAAATGTCAAAAATAGCAGTAGGCTTATAACTTGGGTATAATAAAGAATTATAACTTTGCCAGTTCAATTGTTATAACAATAGTAGGTAATGAGCCGGTACATCAATTATACTGTACAACCATACTCCAATTAATAGTTTTGTATTTCTGAATTGTGTACATATGTATGTATGAATTTGATACACGAATGCATGTGTGAATTGTAAACAAATATACACACGCAAGTGTGAATGTTTTTTGGTTTTGTCTCACAAGACGATAAAATTTCATAGTTGCAAACGAACTTAATTTTAAATAATCGCTTCTCTTTGATGCGCCATTTTTATCAATTTTTGTAACAACTTTTTACACACTCGTGTATGTAAGTGTGTTACGTGTGTGTGAGAAAGAGAGGTGTGTGTGTGTGATTGTGTGTACAATTGCTTGCGGAAGACATACAAACACACAGAGACACATTATTTGTGTGTGTACGCGCACAAACATGAAAACGAACGTAAAACCTAAGTGCCTGTAAAAATGATTTTGCCATTAATAATGATCATGCTCCCTCTCGCTCCCTCCCTGTGCTAGGTTTGTGTGAATCAAAAAGATATTTTTGTCGTTGTTGTTGTAGATTATTTTCCGTTTTTATTGTTGTTTTTGTTGCTTTCGTCATAGTCGTTATTGTTGTTATCGCTTTCTATTTCAGGTGTGAACATGTTTGTAAAATGTTTATCATAATGTTTCTTATGCGAACGAACCACCAAATGAGCAAACTCTTTTGTATATGTTTTACAGCCAGTGGACAAAACCATACAAAACAAACATCCATCATAGCTGGACAAATAGGTGCGCACATAAACATACGCAGACACAGAAATAATCACACATACATGCATACATAAACAAACTCACATACACAGAAATAATTACATATACACAAACATACACAGATACGTATACATACACAGATACACATACATACACATATACACATACATACACAGATACGCATACATACACAGATACACATACATACACAGATACACATACATACACATACATACACAGATACACACAAATAAAGACGCGCGAGTGTCTAAATGCGTGACGAAAGTTGAGTGATGCTGACGATAATAATTAGCGAGAGTTTGAATGAAAGCGCCATCCCACGACAGATATCAATTTAAACTGACTGGCATGAACTTAAGTGCTTCACGGTGCAATTAATTCCACTTTTAATGTGGTGCTGATTGAAATGATGGAGTGTTAGGCGATGGGGTGGAGAGGATGAATGAAGATGAAGTGGTGATGACGTTTTGATGTGGTCTAAAATGATGGGGATAATTTCGTTGATGATGATGGTCACGTTATTAATTTATTGAGTAGAAAGTGGCTGTCTTGTCGTCTGCTGTTTCTTGCCTCTGCTTATGGCTTCACTACGGCGTACCATCTTATCAAGAAGCAAGACAACTAATTTGTAAATTCCTGTAAAAAGTGTAGATGCAAGCACACCCACACAGCATACTCAGGCATACATACATGAACAAACAATCAAACACACATACGTGTAAACCAATACACATACACATTGCACCACATACATGAGTACGACGAACGTACACACACGCATACACAGGCGTACGCACACGCAGACATATCCTGTCATCTGTGACGTCAGCATATTTCGAGGAAACAATTTCCGTTCTGGTTTAAATCTCAAAAAATGTCTCGGCAATAAAATTTAAAAAAAAGAAAATTTGATCGTCAAATAGAACGACGATGATTCATATTAGGTATTGGTAGTTTTTTTTTCAAACGTTTCAGACGAAATTAAATGAAAGATATTGATTTTGTATAAAATAAACCGCGCATAACAGCGAAGGGATTAATTAAAGTTTAAAATAAATTATTAAAAATAAATTATCAACGGACCAGCCAGCCAACCAATAAAATTAACTTACTTCAATTATATAGGGCTTAATTTGTTGTTGGATCGGATCTTCTAGCCTTTATCTTAATAAACAACTCGAAAAGTGTCAACATTTTAGATGTTCTCCTATACATATGCCATGCAGGCAGGCTGATTTAGATTGCTTATATGTACAGTTGCAAGCTATCTTCCTTCTAAAACAACCCGCCCAGAAATATAATTAACAAAAATACTGAGATTCGAACATGTATATATATATAGATACATGAGTGAGTTAATCAATGGGGGAATAATTAGTAAAAGAACAAACAAAAGATTGATTGAATGAATGATAATGAATGAATGAATGAAGGAGGGAATGAAGGGAAGAAAATAATACAATATAAAATATCTAACTAATTGTATATAAAGACGACGAATTAAAACAAAAAATCATTTAATTTCAACTTTTAAACTGACCCCGACTCATCAGGCAAACATACACGCACGTGTGGACGGATTAAAAGTAAAAAATTGCGTAATTTCGCGCCATTTAAAAAAAAATTTTCAATATTTTAAATTCAATTTGTACTTTTTGGACATAAAATGATGCAACATAAGACTGTCTCGCTAGCGGTCAGAAAAATAGCAAAAAAACTTTGTGTTTACATAATTTAAATATTAAAATGCAATATATTACTAAATAAAAACATGAAAAGATAATTGCTTGTGCGTGTGTGTGCTTGCTTGTGTGTGGTGAGTGTGTGTTTGATGAAAAAATTAACTTTTAGATAAAAAAAAGAACAAAAATAAAAACAAGATATCGAAATTTGGAATTCTACTGAACAAGGAAATTGTTTTGCGGTGATCTTTTACAAACTTTACCATTTGGTTTTCAATAGTTTGTTTGTAAATTTTTTTAAATTAATTTCATTCAATAAATAAATAATATCTCATAATTGTTTCCATTAACGGTCTAGATCACAGCAAAGATGAAAAATATGCTTATAAATAAAAAAAAGCATAAACATCATAAAAAGATACAAAATAATAAAAACATGAACATGACAAAAATTCAATATATATAATTTAATAAGCGCGAAAAATAGAGAGCACACAAATCGCAATTGTTGTCTAATTGGCCCCAGTGTTTTCCGGCATTTCCGGTGCGTGTTTGTATGCATGTTTTTATGTATGTATGGATGTATACGTATGTATATATGTATGTATGTATGTGTATGTTTGTATGTTAAAACCAAAACATGAGGTGTATGCTTGTATGTATGTGGTGTATGTGTGCATGTATGTATGTATGTGTAAATGTTGGTAATGTATGTGCATGTATGTATGTGTGTATGTATGTATGCATTGCTAGAACTAACGGAAAAAGTAATTGATTAATGTACTTATGATTTATAATGTTGGATGTATTTATATTATAGTGTTGGCTTCATTCATTGAATCATCTTTATGGCTTTCATCATTATTCATCATTATCATCATCACAATCAACATTTTTGTAGTTAATATTATCACTAGCTCGCTATTATTTTGCCTTTTGTTACCACCACCCTACCATTTCAACCATATACATACTCATGATCTAAAGCATGGGTGGGCAAACTTTTTTGCATTGAGAATTATTTGACTTTTGAAAAGCCGCATTGAAACCATTTGACCTTTGAAGGGTCGCAAAAAATAAGCCTGCCATACCGCCTGATTCTCAAGCAAGTAAAAATAGAGATGTGGGATCATCTTTGTGGGATGTACTTAATGTCATTTATTTCGTCATTATCAAAGGATATCGTCATCATTTCCATCATTGATAAGATCGTCATCATTGAAAGCTTCATCATCACCACCATTATCTTCATCATCACCGTCACGAATTTTATTTCCGAGTGTTCTTTTTAAGCCACAAATATAATTTTATACATTCCTGAAATTAATTTCTCTCTTTTTCTTTCTCTCTCTCCTTAACTTTCTTTTCTCTTTCCTTATCTCGCTCTCTCTCTTCATTTCTTTGTCTGATCAAATAAATAAAAATTTAATAGAGTATTAGACAAACAAATCTGCGAGCAAATGGATAGAAATAACGGAGAGAGAGAGAGAGAGAGAGAGAGAGAGAAAGAAAGAAAGAGAGAAATAAAGACAAGACAAGGAAGATAAGGAGTGCTAAGAGGCCCTACACGATTTTTGAAACAACTAACACAATCGCTCAGAGACCATATATTTTTTATTATTATTTTAATTTCCAAACAAAAATCTTTTCTTAACAGTTACGAACTAACGGACATAATGACAGTACCTATATACATTCTAACAAACAAATATACAGATATGTCTGTAACATTTTCTCTGGAGACAATTAATCACGGTCATCATCAATTTGTAATCATCATAATCATTGGCATCATCCTCATCCTAAGTGTTATCATCATCATCATCATCGATGTTCATCCTCATTCTCCATAATCATCATCTTGGTTTTTCTTCCGGATTCATCCTGCCTTTTCATCAGCCTCTTGTTCTTCCTCTCCACATACTCGGATATGTTATCGATGCGCATCTTATGGAGGTTGCATTCAAATCTGTTGCAGCTGCCACTGCCACTGCTGTTGTCGCTGCTTGATTGACAGCTAGAAACTGTCGAGAAGATGGTGATTATAACCGTAAAATAATGACGTTAATGCTGAAAATTGTGACTTTTGAAATTAAATTTCCGAAATGTCGTTGTCTTCTAATTAAACACTACAACAGCTTAATCAGTAATGTCAACTGATCACATTACACACAGACAAGCCCGCAAAAACACACTCCTACAATCTCTCACTCTCTCTTTCACACACACATACACACACACACACACACACCTGATACTAGTGTCGCGTTATTTCAGCCAATTGAAATAATTCAATTTAGAAAAACAAAATCAGACAAGTCAGTGTATGTGTGGGGTGCAGCGTGGTGTGGGTGTGAACGGTTTTTTGTACTTGTTTCAATTTTTTAACATTTTTTTATTGAAACTTGAAACATTTCATCCCACTTATATAATCGAGTACGTTGTCAGTGGCTAGAGAGAGTGGCTAGAGAGAGTGGCTAGAGAGAGAGAGAAAGAGAGAGAAAGAGAGAGAAAGAGAGAGAGGAGAGAAGAGATATACAGAAGATAGATAGAGAGGAGAGAGTGAGAGAAACAAAGAGGCAGAAAGACGTTTCATGAAGATTGATTCAGTCAATTCAATAGCCCACTGACTGATATAGCCAGTGGTTGTATGGAGGACATGGAAGAAAGAAAGGGTACGTACATATATAGCGAAGGATCTGTCATTTAAGTGGAACGGTATTGAATTGCACTGATTGAATTATAAAGGTCGGATAATTACGTTAGAGAGAGTTTCGCAATGAAGTTTGACTGCCTACGACCAACAAATTAAATGATAGAATTTGACGCTCCCTGTAGTGGCAGTAATTGCTTTCGTCGTCGTTGTTGTCATCGTCTATGTCGTGGTTGTTTTTGTTACATACGTCATCGTTGTTAGTGACGTCATAATGATAATAATTAGCAGTGATGTTTTCTAGTTATCATCATTATTATTATTATCATCATTTGTACTACATATTAAAAATTCCCTTGAAAAGGATTAACCATGCATGTGTTGTAACTCTTTGTTGAGGCAATCCACATACACAGGCTCTAATTCATTCAACTGAAAAATAAATTTCATTTAATTTTTTTATAAAACCATGCATCAAATAACTGACATAACTAACAATAAATAAAATGAATAAAAATAAATAAATAGAATAATAATTAACAATAATAAAGCACTAACTAAGGTTGCTATACAAATTCTCTATATGAATAATAATAATAATATAGAGGAAAAGAACTTTACTTGCAAAGCATATTCAAAAATTTTGAACGTTGACAAACAGATTTGACCTTCTGCAACACTTTCTTGTGCAAGCAACAAGATTAACTGCTCATCTAAAAGGGAGATATCTTGGATGTTGTTGTTGACGTTTGTTACTGATACAAATTGCAACATTTTGCTTTTTGTTGGATTTTCGTTTGCAATAGAAGGAAAGCATAGCTTTAGCGTTAATACTACTCTTCTTCTATTTGGTAGGAAAAAGGTAAAACTATGTTAAAACATTAAAATATTAAATAAGATGACAATTGTAATGAATTTATTGTCAAACATTGAAGCACAGATCTAATATTATTAAAAAAGATAAATAGTTTAATAATCTTTAACAAAAAAAAAAAACGGTTTTAATTGAATAAATTCAACAACAAAATCGCAAAATCTTGCATTTATATCAAAATAATTACAAAACTAGATCAAACACAAACACACACACACACACACACACATACCACACACACACACCACACACACATACCCCACACACACACACCTTTCAAAAATTACGAAGACAAATTTTGTCAATTTGTGATAGCATATATTCCTGACATCAACGCCCCGACATACATTCTCCTCTTCCGATTGGTTAGGAAAAGAACTAGGGCAAATAGCTGACTGATCGTGACCTAAATATTCAAAAGTATTAACAGAGTCCAGCAGACGACCTGATTTGTAATCCCAAAGAATGATTCGCCCATCCTGGTTGGATGATGTTATAGATATTAATTTATACATCGATTGATGCTATTGGTTAATGAATTAATGGCGAAATTTATAATAATCTATCATCATCACCATCATTAAATTTCATCATCATCATCATTACCATCATTATCATTATCATTTCCATCATCATCATCATCAATAATCTAACCCCAGATCCAGACAACAAAAGATCACACTCCTCAATGTATAGAACCTTGCTAACAAAGCTGCATAGATATGAATTTTTAGAAAAAAAAACCTTACTTATTTATTATAATTAATAATGTAAAATTATATAAATGAACTAAATGAATAACTAAATAATAATACAAATAGAAACAGCAATAAAGCCATACTCTGTGTGAGCGAGACAAAACTGATGGACGTTATAGCAGTTGGGATAGTTACTAATCCTAATCTTCTCATCTCTATCACATGATACAAGATATCTATCTGCATCACATAATTCCTGTACGGTGGTTGGTATCATGATATCATCATTATTGATACAATCATAAATATTATCATTATTATGTTATTTATAAAATTCTAAGAGTTGTGATCCTAATTTATGAAATTAATTACTACTTATTAAAAAATAAAAACTAATTACAAACACCACAGACAAAGTATTTTTTCATACAATTCAATCAAATCAACACTAACTACACTAACAATATCAAGGAGCATAGAAACATGGCCAGCCACAACGAAAGAGTCGTCGTCATCTCTGTTGTCATCAGTATCATTGGACCCTGAAACGGCATTTTTGGGTCCTGAGATAACCAAACCCCCAACCCCCTTCCCATCCTTGGATTCCAGGGAAGTCAACCCCTCAACACCAAGAACATCAAACTTAAGTACATCCCCTGATTTGTCAGCTATCAGGATGTTTTTGTCATCTCGTGTGAATTTCATGGATGTACATCTTTTTGGAATGGATCTAAAAAAAGATTGGTAAATTGTATGAAATCAATTAGCTAACTAGTCATCCAACCAACCAATTAATCATTCATTAATTCACTGCTACATCCACTCAACCAATCTACCAACCAAAAAATTAAACAAACAAATAAACATTTATTCATTACTTCATTGACTCATTTAATTAATCAATCAAGTAACAAATCAGTCACCTAATCAATGAATGAAATAACCATTTTACCAACCAGCCAACTAAATTTTCAAAAAGAATAACAACCTGTGATTGACAAGTTTCCAATTGTTAGAAGCATCATATACATACAAATTTTTCCCATCATCACTGACTGACAGGTACTTTTTAGAATGACTACATGCCATGCTAGTAATTTTACTTGATTCTGTTGTACTCTTGTTAGTAATACTATCATTCTTTTTGTTCCTAATTTAATTAAAAAAAATTGATTTAATTAATTAAACATTTAAGAATCAAAAAAATGGAAGAAAAAGTATCTACTTGTTTTCGTTATTTCTGGCATTGTTATCTATTTGCACATTTTCTGACTTCAGCTTTATGTGGACAATATGTTCAAGTCTGTAACTAATAAAGTAAACAAAAAAAAGAAATAAAATTATCTTATCAGTTGTGGATGTGTTGATGATGAACAAACTGCAACTGAAAAAAAAAAAAAATACAAAAAATTTTTTCAATGCCTAACAACCCGAAATGGTAAATGACGACATCCCGACCGACTGAGACGACGACGAAATCCTCATTCGATAAAATCCGTGCCATGCTCCGCCGTTCATTCGAGCGGAAACCATGCCATCCTAATATCGACCTGTTTACATAGGTGTTATTCTTTTTGAGAACCTTTTGTAAGGTTTCTTTGGAGCTTAATTAGTTAATAGTCATATATATTATTCATTAACAATTGATGAAACTGATGAATTTTAGGCAAAAATATTATTTATGTTCGTTATTTTGACGATTTATTTTGAATTTAACATATTTTTTTAAACTTTGTAACATTTCGTAACCAAATAAATAGAATTAAGTTATTTTTTCCTAAACAGTCTATATTTTAAATTTAAATTTAATAAAAAATCCTCATCATTCTTAATAAATTCATTTAAATAATACCGTTATTAGAAGTTAAAAATTTAAAAAAATTGTCTTTTTATACATAAATATATTGAATAATTAACATTTTCATTTTAAAATAAAGACTATAGTAGACTAATTATAATAATGTTAACTGCATTGTAGCAAAAATGCAAAAGATGATGATGAGAACGACGATGATAAAGATGATGATGGATAGGACACACAAGAATACTGAGACACAACGAGAAGCAATTGCACTGCAGCATCAGCAGCAGGACTGAAGTGATGATGACGTCGACGATGACGTCGATGATGGCGATGATAACAACAAACAACTGCACAGCGACAACAATCGCCACTGCCTAAACAAGATGGATGCCAAAGTTTTCAGAGCTTAAGTTATTTCGAGGATCGATACATTGATCGCCACTTTTTCTATTCTTCACGTTTCCACTGAGATTTGAACTTCCAATTTCAATCTCATTCCAAGAAGCGATCTTTCTACACGTCAGTTGTGGAATATTTCATTAAATTTTTTTGTAAATTATAACATAAATATTATACAATAAAAACGAAATTAGCAGAATCGATTTTGCTTCTTAATTAACTTAATTAAATTAACTAATTCGTCTTCCGACTTGTGAACGGAGCCTTGTTAAATGCCTGGTCCATGGAATCAAACGAAACAATTTCTGATCAAACGAGTGCCGTTATTTCAGAGTCGGTAGCCGTTGAAGACTCGCTTTTGACGACGTTAACGACTGATGCCGCCAACGATGTTCCAGTATCGACAGACCTCTACAAATTAATACCCAATGGAATGGCTTTGGACCTATCCAGCATGTCCCAAGAAATTTCTTCACAAAATACACTTGGGGCCACATACAGCAAACTGATGAATTCATTGTCAATAGAGCAGCTCAATCCGTCCTTCAACTTTCTCACTCAATCTGCAACTCAACCTGAAGCAGTTTCAGCCACCAATGAAATTCTTCCGTCCTTAACTGACTATGATGTTGCATTGAACTTTAACCTGCAAACTCAACCAGACAGCAGTACGAGCAACCAGCATCAAAATTCATGTTTCAAATTGTTAAAAGATCTTGATCCAGCTGGTTTGCAAATGTTGAAAAGCAACATGACATCTCTGGAGCCTGGAGAACTAATTACAAATGATTCAACAGCACTCAAAATAGATGATACATCTAAATTAAATTTGAATCTTTTAAAAAGAAATTGGGTGATGCCTAACAATTTAACTTATGCCATTATTGATGCATCAGGTAATATAAATGCCATAAAGCAATCGAGTGAAAGCAGCAATGACCAGCAGAGGCAGCAGTTTGTAACTTCACTACAGCCACTGTCTGCTGCCAATATCATATCATTAACTCAGAAAAGTTTAGAAGATCTACAAAAAATGCAAATTCTTCAGCAAGCAGCCAATGCAACCAACCTAACTGGAATGTTGATACCTCAGGGTTCCTCCATCTTTCTTCAATCCCTAACAGATGACACTAATTTGAATTCTCTTCAGGCAGAATCTCCCACTTATGACCAACCCAGCTCGACTACTGCAGAACCAAATCAACATAACCAAGAAGAAATTAACACCAAAGAAGTGGCCCTCAAGATAAGCAATGAATTGAAAAAATATAGCATTCCTCAAGCTGTCTTTGCCCAACAGGTATTTATTTTTACATCTAAATAATATAATAATTTCTAAATTATTGCTTTTTATATTCTACGAAATTGTTTTTTAACCAAATAATTATTTTTCATAATTTTGTTTGAAGGTTCTGGGCAGAAGTCAAGGAACATTGAGCGATTTGTTGAGAAATCCGAAGCCATGGAGCAAGTTAAAAAGTGGTCGTGAAACATTCAGGAGAATGTGGAATTGGCTAAAGGAACCTGAATCTGAAAGGATGGCTCACTTGAGATTATGTGGTTGGTTGGTTGGTTGGTTGGTTGGTTGGTTGGTTGGTTGGTTGGTTGGTTGGTTGGTTGGTTGGTTGGTTGGTTGGTTGGTTGGTTGGTTGGTTGGTTGGTTGGTTGGTTGGTTGGTTGGTTGGTTGGTTGGTTGGTTGGTTGGTTGGTTGGTTGGTTGGTTGGTTGGTTGGTTGGTTGGTTGGTTGGTTGGTTGGTTGGTTGGTTGGTTGGTTGGTTGGTTGGTTGGTTGGTTGGTTGGTTGGTTGGTTGGTTGGTTGGTTGGTTGGTTGGTTGGTTGGTTGGTTGGTTGGTTGGTTGGTTGGTTGGTTGGTTGGTTGGTTGGTTGGTTGATCTACTGGCTGGTTAATTTGTGACTGATTGGTTGTTATGTAATGTAATTATTTGCTGAATTTTTCGATAGGTTGTATAATTGGTTAATAATTTGTTAAATTATTATGTCAAATACATTAAATCTTCAGTTTAGTTGGTTTGTTATTATATAACTAGTCTTACAACTTAATTGACTCTTGATCAGTTAGTTGATTGAGAAATTGAATCTTTAAAAAAAATCACTGTCAATGTTAAAATAATCTTATTAATAAACTTTTTCCCCAAAATTAGCGTCATCCATCAATCAAGAGATGGCCGCCACGGCGTCTGAATCAAAACCGACGACATCCTCTTCCTCAACGTCACCATCTCCCGCTCCTCCTTCATTATCAACTAATGCAACAAGTATGACCATGTTATTGATATTATCAGTAGTAATAATTGTCGTATTATAATAGTAAAAGTGATAATTGTTGTTTTGCCATAAGTTTAACCATCCAGATGGATGAATATTTGAAACTAGTTATTTTAATGGATTACACCACATTCAAGTTGACATACATTACTGCCATAAATACAAATGCACTTATACCACACCACAGCAGCAACAGCCCAGAAACGACCTCGAGACACACATTCGGACGAGAACGACACATCGCCACCGGCCAGCAGCCAACAGCCTCCGAACTTTTCGGGCAAAAAACCTCGAATGGTCTTCACGGAGATTCAGAGGCGAACTCTAGTGGCCATCTTTAAAGAAATCAGACGACCCAGCAAAGAAATCCAAGCAACGATAGCTGAACAACTCGGCTTGAAAGTTTCAACCGTCGTCAATTTTTTCATGAACGCCAGACGAAGATCCATAGAAAAATACTTAGACGATACTGTGGCCGTTACTACGTCGACAGTAACTTCAGTAACGCCTCTGTCGTCATTGTCGTCGACGGCTGACAGTGCTGCTACCACTATTAATTTGAATATACTGGCTAATGTTAGTAACAACAATAGCGTAGGTAATAATGCCCAGAATACTAGTGCACTAATAATAAATAGTAATGTGGTCGATTGTAGTAGTAATAGTAATAGCAGCGGCAGCAGCAGTAGCAGTAGCAACAACGGCGGCGGTAGTAGTAGCAGCAGCAATAGTAGTATTAGTAGTAATAATGGTGGTCTGGATATTTATGGTGGAAATGGCGTTAGTAATAGTTCGGGTGAGTACGTGGTTTACTGCAGTAGTGATGACGTCACGAGTAGTGCTGGTGAATTCACCACTTTGTGAGTTCCTGCTAGTGGGGTATGGATGACGATGGTGATGATGGTGATTCTTATCACCACCACCACCACCATTCCGGTGGTGGTGGTGGTGATAAGAAAGAGATGATGACGACTGTGATTGTGAAAATGATGATGACGAGAGTGACGAGAATGACGATGATAAAAAATTGTTGCACTGTTTATTGTTGATGTTGTTGTTAGTATTAATATTATTATTGTTTTGTTTTTGTCATTATCATTGTTGTTGTAGCCATTTTACTTTGATGTACTTTGTTTTATCTTTAATTTTTTTCTTTTTTTTTTTAGCAAATGTCCTGATAGTTTGGCGCGATTATTTATGGTAATAATATCCTTGCAATTGTCATATTTTTTATTATTATTCATATTATTATTATTATTATTATTATTCGTAATAATATTATTATTATTATTCGTAATATTATTATTATTTATGCTATTCATGATAATGTTATTATCATTAAAATTGTAAATAGCCAAATTAAAATCTAGAATCACCTTTCAAATGTTCTTATCATCACAGAATTGCTATCGACAATAACGATGACATATTATGCTTTATATATGCATCCAAAACATCACGAATTACTGATAACTACTCTTTGTTTGTTTGTTTGTATGTTTTTATTTGTTTGCTTGTCTGTTTTGTATATTTGTTTGTCTTTCTTTTTTGTATTTTTTGGTATTACTACTTACCAGTACATCAATACGTATGTATATGCATCATATTGTATTTAATATACATTGCACATTAACATACATGTGTTGTTTATATATATATATGTATATATATATATATGTATATATATATATATATATATGTATATATATATGTCTGTACGTGTGTGTGTGTGTATTTTACCTGTATGTGCATGTGATTTAGTACTTTTTAATTGACTAATCCATCATAATACATCATATTTTTGTTTTTAATACAATTCAATCAATGCGTTTTTAATTGTACATACATGCGTTCTTCTTGCGAATTTGTTTGTTTGTTTTATTTATTTTATTTTATTTTATTTTTTAAATTGCATTTTAAAGATTGTATAATCTAATCAATTTAGATATCTAGTCATTTTAATTTATTCTATGTTGTGTTGTTTTGTTTCACAGATTAATTTTATTCAATTTTTTTCTATAAAACATTCCGAATAAAATCTGTAAATAAATAAACCTCTACTAACTTTTATTTAATTTAAACACAATTTTGTGTGAAAAATAAGTAAATGAATTAAAATTAAATGAAAAATACATAAAAAAAGAATATTTAACCAGTTTTTCTTCCTTTTTTTATATAGTAGCCCGTTTTTTCCTTGCATTCTTACCATACAATGTACATCGTAGAGTTTTTTATTCAGCCTAGTCGATTTACTCAATTTTTCCAACTTACGCGTGATTTCTTATACAAAAAATGAAAAAAAAATTAATTTTTAATTGAAAAAAATGTGACAAAATGAGTTTCTTTTGTTCTTATAATTCTTTTTTCTGTTTTTTTTTTCCATTTTTTTGGCGGCATGCCTTCTCCGCGCGTGCGAGTTACATGATTCTTTATAATGACCTTGGTGCTACATATTGTTCGTTTCGTTGTTTTTTTCTTGTTTTTGTTTTTTTTTTCGAATTAAATTATAAATTAATTTGATCGGTCAATCGATTGATTGTTTTTTCGATTAATTAGATGATTAAGTGATTAATCAATTAATCAATCAATTAACTAACCATCTTTTTTAGGTATGATGTTTTTGTGGCTGTGTTTGTTTGGTTCCTTTTGTGCTGTTATATGGCGTTTTGTTGTCGTTTCACTTCTCCAAGCGGCTTAACAATTAAATAATTTAAATAGATAATCCTAATTATTAGCACACAACTAGTTTATTAATAAATAAAACACATGAATGCTTTCAATTTAATAACCCAACTGGTAGAATTTTATTTGAAACCGAAAATGTTATAGCTTGCTTATCGGATAGAATGGCAGTTGATTTAACATCATATTTGCCATGATAATTTATCGTCATCATCGTCATCGTCGTCATCATCTTCAGCCTGCATTTACTATTTCCGTTTCTATCATGGATAATCATCATTGATAACATTCTCAACAGACGTCACTTCGTAATTATAATGATAATAATGGTGATAATGGTATTATAAATGGGTCCCACTGCATCATATTCACCATCGTTTGTTTGTATAGTGTGCAATAATATAAATATACCGAAGTAGTTTTGCTTCATTTAATTATAAGGTATTTTTAAAATTTGGTACACACACGCGCACACGCACACACACACACACATATATATATATATAAATTCAAAATGTATATTGATGTTACATTCGTCATATCATAGTTTTAGCATTTTTCTTATAAATTATTATTTAGAAAATTATATATATATATATATATATATTTGTATATATACATATGAATGTTTATATATATATATATATACATTTATATTGCATGTATAATTGGTGTTTCATATGTATTTGGGAGTATCTATTTTTACTTGTGTATGCATCTATCTGTGTGTGTGTGTGTGTGTGATGTGTGTGTGTGTGTTTTGTACACAATGTGTGGAATTGTGGATTCATATTAATGAATAATCTACAGTTCAACTCACCACTCCAAAAACGATGAAATGATATTAATGAGTAGATCATGAATATGTATGAATGCATAATAACGTCCTACCTCGGGGAACTGGGTCTCTGGACGCTAAACGAAGATTGATTAATTGATTGATTGATTGATTGATTGATTGATTGATTGATTGATTGATTGATTGATTGATTGATTGATTGATTGATTGATTGATTGATTGATTGATTGATTGATTGATTGATTGATTGATTGATTGATTGATTGATTGATTGATTGATTGATTGATTGATTGATTGATTGATTGATTGATTGATTGATTGATTGATTGATTGATTGATTGATTGATTGATTGATTGATTGATTGATTGATTGATTGATCGATTGTATGTATGTATGTATAATAATTTTCTTTTGTAAATATTTTTCCTTTTTCTATCTTAAAGTTGGTTTCGTTCTTTAATAATTATAAATGATTGTTCCTTCATAATGTGTGTGTGTATCTTTCTTATTTTAAATATATATTTTTGTTGTTTTCATTTGTTTGCTTGTTCGTTCGTTCGTTCATTTGTTTGTTTGTTTTCGTTTTTTTTTGTTGTAAATAAACGAA